ACAGACACAGACACAGACACAGACACAGACACAGACACAGACACAGACACAGACAGACAACAAAGATTGGTTTTGACCTGGGCAGATTTTTGAAGTCCCAGAAATGGTCCAGACACCTTCATAGATCCTTGCATTGATAGTGGGCTACTTTTCCTATTTGTCATTTCAGGCATCAGCACAGCAGCAGCTAAAGAACATTCAGGCTTAATGAGTTTTTCTTCAGGTTATCACAAGGCCCAAATGAACACATAAATTAACCTCAATGCCATAGAATCCTTTTTATTTAAATTTTTATTTATTTGATATAGGGGATACAGGGTCTCACTACACAGCTTGGACTCATAGTGATCCTCCCGTCTCAGCCTCTCCAGTGCTGGGATCACAGGCCTGCACCACCATGCCCAGGCCAGCACAGCATGCAGTACAGGGCATTGAACCCACGTCCTTCTGCTTGCCAGGCAGTCACTTAGACCACTGAGCTATCTCCCCAGCCCAGTAGATTTTTTCCTTGGGCACAAAAGTGACCAGATTGTGCATGGCTTTTCCAGTATCTTTAGTTTAACTTTATGGTAAAAAGATCTCTCTCCCTTCCACTGCTTATTTCTATTGGTCTATTGAAAGGAACAGATAATACTTAATTTTTTAAAAAATTTTTGGCACCAACTTTTTGCATGCTTATATCTGGTAATCTGAACAACTAATTTGAAGACAACAATATGCAACACAACAGTCATTGTTGAATTCCTATTGTCTTATTTAATGAAATTTGGTATCCTTTCTAATGCTTTTTTAAAATTATTTTTTATTCTCTTTAAAGAATTTTAAACAGTTTTTCTCTGTGCGTCTTTTTGGAGCTGCTGCTGGGGCATCAGTAAGTCAGGAACCTGGTAGCACAACAGGCGAATGTGGCAGGAAACGAGCCTCTTCGTTCCTTTAAAGTGCAGAGGCAGGGGGTCCTTGTGGTGAATTGCTATCTTTCTTTGATTTGGATATAAAACTATGCAAGAGAAAATGTAAATAATTCACCACCCATTGAGGAAGCCCAAGTTGCTTCTCGACTCTGGTCTCCTCCCAGTGGGAGGCGCTGTCCCCTTCCCTTAAGGTAGCTTCTGGTACACACCTGTGCAGATTTAGCACGCTGCGCTGACCTGAGGAGTTGCCCCACAGGACCTCCTCCAGCCGAGAAGCGTGTCTCCAGAGACAGCTTTCAACAAAAGTGTGCTCTTCCCTGGCCTCAGAATGCTAAATCCTTGCGGCCTCATGCTTTTCTTTCTTTTTAGTTGTTACAGCCTCTGGAGGTGGTGCGACCACAGAAAGTGGAATGAGTACCGGTGAGTTCACGCGTTTCCTAAGCCCTCTACTTTGCTCTTGTGACAATGGTGCTGCCCAGTGGCTAACACTCTCCCCCAGGCCATGTGCCAGATACTACACCCCCTTCTTAGGTCTTTTATTCCTTACCCCAAAGGTGAGGAGAGTACTATTATTTTTACAAGTGTGAACATCTATGGCTCAGAGCTAGTGACTTGCCTAAGGTCCTACTGCAAGTAAACAGCAGACTCCAGCTCAGGCACTGTGGACCCAGAGTCTCTCCCCCAGTTATGATATTGCATTGTCACTACACGACTCTACTCAATTTCATGGTCATTGTCTAAACTATTGTAGCACATGAGCATGTCTATGAAATCAGTACTTTATCCAAATGAAGATGCAGGTAATTTTCTTCTTCTTCTGGAAGCATCTGGTAGCCAACTCCGTGGCATTCAACCAGGTGAATAAAAGAAGATGCCCCTATTTCTCTGACATTGGGCCCAGATAAGGGGGTGTTGTCACTGAATCCACCCCCCCCCATACTGCACCCCACCACCACCAAGTTTATATTGATAATGAAGCATGACATAGGCACACAAAACAGCTCTGGAATACACTATCCCTGAAAACGATCTCCTCACATGTGCTACTGTGTTGAGGAGTAATGTGCTTTGAAGCTAAGAATGGAGAATGTGCTTAGTGATGGCAGAATGCCCGAGGAGGGCTTTCTGCAGCTTTCCAGTCACCAGCAGTCATCCTCGGCCTCACTCTTAGGAAGGTAAACATCGTTCCTTTTGTTTTCTCTCTCTCTCACTCACTTCCTCTCTGCTGCTTCAGGCACCACTGGGAGAGACACTAGCCCACCAGCCGCGTCCAGAAGCTCCAATACAGGTAAATCACTCCCCTAATGGAGAACAGGAGCCTCGGTTCCTGACTCTTCTGAATTCCCTTCTTTTCCCCTTTCCTTTAGAATCCACAGCTTCTGTAAGAGGTGGTGGTACCACAGAGACTGACATTAAAATAGGTGACCACTTGCCACTTAAATAATTATTGTTCTCTTTATCTTAAATTACATTGGTTACAATAAACCCAGTGGGAATGTTACTCAATTTCTCTAAGTAATGATTTCCACTTTGCTATCACATTACCCCATGTGAGTTATCCCTTGTAAATTCGAAAGACAGTGGCGTAATTGCCTATATTACATTCACTCAGGGCAGGAAGGTTCCTTTCAGTTCACTAAAGAAACCTATAAATTAATTGGATGTGTTGGCACATGCCTATAATCCCAGCACTCAGGAAGCTGAGGCAGGAAGATCACTGTGAGATTGAGGCCAGTCTGGGCTACATAGTGAGTTCAAGGCCAGTCTGAACTGCAAAGTGAGACCCTCTCTCTACATCCATCCATCCATCCATCCATCCATCCATCCATCCATCCATCCATCCATCCATCCACCATCCATACTAAACCAATTCCTAGAGGGAATTCATGGTGATTCTCTTCTTTTGTGATTTCAGTTACCACTAAGATAACTGTTGGTACAACGGTTGCCCCTGGGAGTAGCACATGTGAGTCATCAACGTGGTGGAGAGATTTGACTTTGAACTTCGGAGGACCTATGTTTCCCATGGAGATAGCACATAAAGTAACAGTGTCACACATTTCCTCAAATACTTCTCCGTTTCTTCGCAGGGGCTACAACTTCCACAGAAGTTGGGACTACAACTTCCACAGAAGTTGGGACTTCCACAAAAGGTGGAAGGGTCACTGGTGAGTAGCTTGCTCTGTCAGCACCTCAGGTTCCAGGGTTCTCCAGATTCATGGTAGGCAATGGATAAGTGAGAGATGGGTTGAAAGAGTTTTGTATTTTATTTAAAGAGCTAATATGCCACATATATCAGGCTTGCGCCTTTTCTCTTTAAACTGATTTTCTCCACACAGCATCCTTTTAGATGGAATTTTAACAAGCTCAGTGCAATGGCTCCTCTCAATCCTCCATCTCACTTTGTAGGAAACCCTTCAGGTTCAGCTTGTGTTTCAAAGGGCCCAGAAAACTAGTCCTGGTCAGTATAGATTATAAATTCACCTATTTGTGATTCTGGAGTATAAAACCTAATCTCATGAGTTTAATCCTGGTGACTGAGGTTCCAACACATTTAAATTATTTTTAGCATACTCTCTTCCCCACCATGGCTTCTACCCAGAAGCACCACAAAGCCAAGTCACAGGGAATCAAATACATGAGCAGAGGAAGTGCACTTCATGCCAAAGGAATGAACCCTAGCAAAGGGCTCCGAATGGGAGTTTTTACATATATTTTCTTGGTAGAAGGAGAATATATTTAAGAAAACGTGGTATTTGCTTCTCTTGCACAAAGAGATTCTTTTACTGCTTATAAGAAATGTGAATTTGTTCAAGTCCCTGCTATTGTCAGGTTAAAAAAGTCTTTATGTCTTTCTCTCCCCCCATTTCACTGTCTCTCAATCTCAGTTCTTTCCATGTCAAATTCCAAAGGAGTACCTTCTTCCCTTGCACCTATTGCTGGAAGTTCCAATGTGCATTAGTCAGTTATTGAAGAAAGCTCTCCAGAGTATCTTGGGCAAAAAGCTTAAAACTATTTTTCTTTAAGTAGAAAATACAAGTAATTGATAGAAAATAAGGTAAGGCCAGATTTTGATAGTGTGAGTGTGAAATGCTCTAGGCCTCCTGGTGCTGATACAGAGGAGAAAGGATAAGGAGTTGTGGAGCCCCAAAGCTTGGCCAGGACCAGAGATAAAGATCTGTCAGCCCACTGCTTACAAATGATGTTGCCACTATGGGTGCCAGTGCGTTTGTTTCAGATATTGACACAGAGGAAGAAAATTGAGGGGTGAAGACAAAAGCCTAGAAGAGGGAGAACTTTGGTTTGGCACTTGCTGATGTGTTTGCCTTTAGCCCAGCAGAATATCGGGGCACTGGGAGATTCTAGGAGACCAAATTGCCTATAAGGTGGGAATTCAAATCTCAGATTAAATTTGTAGGATCTGCCTGGATTGCCAGGGATGCATTTGGTAAATAAGACACGTTTTAGGGAATCTAGCCCCATGGTAATAAGACTTTGAGTAGAAGGGAGGAACGGATTCCAGGGAGCTGAGGTACAGGAAGTAAAACAGGTGGGCACGGGAACTGGAAAAGGTGCGGCTGGGAAAGACACATCTCCCTGACACTCTGGGAATGGAGGACCCCAGAGGACTGGAAGAATAAAACAGAGTATCATATAATTTCATGTTTTAGGACAAGGACTCCTGGTGAAGGAATACATTGTTTCACCTAAACAAATAGATTTATCTTACATGATAATCTCTGCTCAGTAAGACATGTGTTGCAGCCGGGCATTGTGGTACATGCCTGTAATCCCAAGTCTATGGGAGGCTGAGGCAGGAGGATCACAAGATTAAACCTAGATGGGACAATTCAGCTATTTAGTGAGACACTGCCTCACAATAAAAAAGAGAGGGTGGGCTAGGGATGTAGCTCAGTGCAGAGGCAGCGTTCAATCCCCTGTACCAAAGAAGGGAGGAGGAGAGAGGGAGGGAGGAAGGAAGGATGGAAGGATGGAAGGAGGGAAGGAAGAAAGGAAGGAAGGAAGGAAGCAACCAAGTAAGCAGGCTAGCTGGGAAGCTGTTGCTCACAGAGCCCCCTTTCTTTTCTCTCCTGTCCCAGGTTCCACTGGGACTGTGTCCTCACCCAGAAGTCTCCACACAGGTAAGTCAGTTTCTCCTCTAAATGCGCTAGGGACAAGATCCAAGGCTACTGTGTGAGTTTTACGAGTGCACATTTTTAATCTCAATTTTCCTCCTTTGTTCTCAAAGAGACCACAGTGTTTCAGGAAGATATTGGGACAACCAAGATAGAAGTTTCATCAGGTACATTTTTTTCTGATTTTGAATTTTCTTTGATTCTCCATTTGTGTTTACTGTATCCCTACAGACCGTGAATGAAAATGAACCTGGCAGAAAGGTGATGGCTCTCTCTCAATGGGCCACTGCGAGGCCAGCCTGACCTCTTAACTCTTGACTTTTCCTAGAGGACACGGGATAGGTTTAGCTACAGAACCCTTTCTTTGTTTCGCTTGTTCTCTCAAGCAGGACCCCAGGACCAGTGAAAGTCATAAAATAGCAGCCAAGGCCAGGAGTGGTGGTACACACCTGCACTGCCAGCACTTGGGAGGCTGAGGCAGGAAGGGTTATTGCAGGTTCAAGACCAGCCTGGGCTACAAAGTGAGCTCAAGGCAGGCCTGCACTGCATAGAAATACCCCATCTCAAAAAGGAGAAAAAAATGTGAAGAATTTTTCAAACTAACAGTTGCCAATCACCAGTTTAGGTACTTTTTCTGGTTTTCTTCCTGGGAGAACCAGAGTTAAATCAATGGAAGGAAATCATGTGCTTATAAGAAAAATGGTCTCTTACTATTTTTTTGCTTTTTGAGATAGAATTTCACTATGCAGTGCACACTAGCCTTGAACTCACTTTGTAGCCAGGCTGGGCTCAAACTCACAGCGATCCTCCTGCCTCAGCCTCCTGAGTGCTGGGGTTACAGGTGTGCACCACCACACCCGGATCAGGGGATAGATAATGCCAGTTCTATACAAATGGAAGGACCAGGCAAGTAAACTGTACTCCCAGAGGGGAGTGGGGACATGTCGTAGGCTTACCATCTGGTGCAAGAAAACATGTTCAGTTGTTTTCTGTTGCATCAGAGAGACAGGAAAATGTGACAACATCATGCTCTTCTTAGGTTGAGAGAGACTTTGTGCAGCTCACCCTTCTCTCTTATAACAGGTACTCCCAGGGTAGCAGCTAGCACAAGCACTGTCCCTGCAAGTTCAAACACAGGTAAGTAAGTGGCTCTAACTGTAAGTCTAAAAAATAAATTCCCTCTCTGGAATTGACCATAATTAAGGTAGCAGTCCCTACTTCATACTTCTGTGGCTTTTATAAGGTTTAATGACTGACTGCCAGTGGCTTAAACCTATTGGGCTATCAACAACTGCTACTTTTTTTCCTTCTGGCTTTCTAGAACTTAGACCAGAGCCTGCAGTAAGGTAGTGGAGGCTCACTTTGCACACCACAGACAAGGACGGGTAGACAAGATGCGCGTCTAAGAGGCTCCATCTGCCCAAGGGTCTTGTTGTTGTTCTGCAGTTCACAAAGGGGCTCTGCAGACTAGCTGTAGCACAGGTCAAGAATTTCATCTGATTTCCGTATCTTCCTGATGTTTTGGAAAGACAGGCAAAGAGGCTGTGCTATGAGTCACCCTTCATTTGGCTTTGCAGGCACCACTGTGGCATGGAGCAGCATCACTGCGACATCAGAAGGTCCCCACTCAGGTAATAGAAGGGGCCTCCTTCAACAAGGGTCTACATTCTTCTCTCTTCAACACCAGGGTTTTGGAGAACCACTGTGTGTCTCTGTGAAGGAGCATCAAACTTCAGTGGTAAAAGGAAAATTTCACCATTCAGAGCTAAACAGGCAAAGAAGGCTTTATTCAAAGTTATTGTAAGAGACATCAAAGCCATTACCAGAGAGGAGCAGGACTGAACTCGTACCTCTGAACAAAGCAGCAAGAGAATCTAAGTGCTGGGGGGAAAATACCCGAGGCCACTGGGGAGGAGGGATCAGATTACCCCATTGGCTGATGGGTGTTTAATCTGGTCAAAGCCCCTAGTCTCCAACAGGGACCAAGAGACTGAGGGATCCTTTTGCTTCATAATTGCATTTCAAAGGAACCCTTGAGAAAGATATTCTTCAGTTGTAAAATGGGCGAGAAACTGGGAGATCTACATCTTAACGTGGTCGAGGAAATACCATATTATTGCAAGCTTTCTAAAGTAAATGATACAAGAAACAGGAAGCCAAGGATTTATAGATAGGGAAACCATGCTTAGAAGTTAGTCAAGTTGAGGGGAACATTAAGGTACCTGGATCAACTCATACTTTTTCTTACACGTTGGTAGTAATTTGGAAGGAGAGAATTTATAACCGTACTAGGAAACCAAGTTTTACACAGTGAATTTTAAGAAACCTTGTTGTCACTTGAGGATCTAGATGTGGAAATCATACAGACATTCATGCCTGTGGACAGGGAGTTGCTGGAGACCTCTTGATGTTTCAGTGAAAGAGGCCTGAACCAGAATTAGCTCCTTGCAGAGATGTCTTGGGGACATGGTCCTTGAGCAGGTGTATTATTTTTCCCTTTCTCATTTTAGATACTTCCAAGGAAACATCTGGAACAACTGCCACTCCTGGAACTACTACCACAGGTGAGCCAACTTTTGTATTTGTCTCAGATTAAAATTCGAGGTCCAAATGATCTGTTTGGAAGGGGTGGGGGGTCTCCATTGCTGTGAGTACCAGAAAAAGCAGGGCGAGGGGCACGTACCTGTCTGACTGGCTCCGCAGCCATTTTTCAGCAATAGAGAAATGAATTAGGCAATGATTCCAGCAACTGTGGAGACATGAGCTTTCTCTTTTTCTGCAGGATGCCCAGCAGCACCTCCACCTGCTCCAGGTAAGAAGGAATGCCTCCACGGCACAGTCACTCTGCAGGAGTGCTTCCTGTGGAGCCAGTGTCACCTGCCATGCTGGCAAATCACTAGCCATGAAAATGTTGTAAGTTGAACTGGATACATACAGTTTTCCTTCACCAAATGAATGAGTAATAGTTTCACACTCACAAAGAAAGCAGCCAAATTAAATACACCTTGCTAGATTTAGTTACTTTATGTCATTATATCTGTTGGCCAAAATTCTGTCACCGGAAAGCGACCATTTGAAAAAGTAGATCATTGTGACTTTTTAAAGGGTTAAACTGTAGCAAGAAAAATTCACCTTAGCCAGAGTTCAGTCAATTTAGAAAACAGATTCCCTTATTCTGAAGGGAATGTAATAATATTTTATAGCAGTTAGGAGAAAAATCCTAAAAAATTCTTTAATTTTAGTATGCAGTAAGGGAAGAAATATTTTCAGTGAAAAAGATGGTATTCATGTGAAGTCATAAATAAATGTCACAGACAAAACTGAGATTTGTATTATATGAAGAGTGCATGCTGTGTGTCATATATACCATAGTTTTTTGAAGGATTGCTTTATAGGATTGGAATTTGAGAACAACATGTAGGTTGAATGTAGATTAATGGAAGTGAGAGACAGCTAGAATGTGGGTGCATCTCAATACGGGAGACCCTGGGAAGCAGGATAAAATGTTTTTTAGAAGACCATAAGAAGCCAGCAAGTTTTTAATTAAGCAGCAATAAGATCTAGACATTAGGAAAATTACTTTACCTATGGCCCAAGGAATTGATTAGATCAGAAAGAGATCTAAGCAGCTTAGAATTATAAATGATAATAAGATTTTGGAGTAGTGTTATAGCAAGTAGGATAAAGAAATGATTTAAACAAGGAGAGAGGTATAGGGTTAGGCAGCGAAACGGATGGCAAATGATGGGAGGGTAGGAATCAAAATGGCTCCATTTTAAATTAGAATTCTTAAAAGAATAAATGTGGTTCTTAAAAATAAGCTAGTGTGGAAGAGAAAGTGGGCTCTGGGGACAAGAGGGCACAGTTGCCCTTGTGCACTTCAAGCCTGAGGTTGCTGTAGGTCTGTTGGGACTCTGTCTGTTGAGCGGGGGAGAACTGGGTCGGTCCCCAGCTCCTGAGAGGAGCAGGTGGAGCTGGAGCCACACGTTTGAGAGCCAGCATCTCATTTTACAGGAGATATTATGGAGACAAAAGCCACAGAGATCTGCTGGGCATGATGGCGCACGCCTGTAATCTCAGCACTCAGGAAGCTGAGGCAGGAGGATCATTGCAAGTTTGTGTCCAGCCTGGGCTACAAAGTGAGCTCAAGGCCAGACTGAACTGCATTGGTAGATCTTGTTTCAAAAACACAAGGAGAAAGAAAAAGAAAAAAAAGATAGGAGTCTCCTTGATTAAAGCAAAGGAGGGAAAACATTTTCATGAAGGTGAGAATTAATAATTTCAGGTATGGTGCAGAATTTAAACAACTGAAAAGCACCATTGCATCTGGTAATTGTGAAGTCTTATGACTTCATAGAATTTTAGAAGCATAAATCAGACTAAAACAGTAAGACAAGCAGTAGTCTTAAGATTGATTGGGCACTACAGGTCAAGCCAGGAATTGCCCTTTGTTGGGATTTATAAGATTAAGACACTCCCCTGCAACACACACACACACACATTTCTTGGGGACAGGCTGCATGATGTAGGTAGATGTGATTTATCCACCTCTAGCACTGTCTAATCTTCCATAATTCTGTGACTCAAATCCTGGTGCCAATTACGGTATTGGCCACCTGCTGGTTATCTATAAATAACAGATGGTTGTATTTTGCCAAATTTAATTAGTGTTCATCATTTCATGTTAACAGTTTGTCATGGTCCGCTGGGAGAAGAAAAGTCTGTAAGTACCCAGTTTTGCTCCGCCCGAATCCAAATGTGCTTGCATTCCTGCATTTGAACGGAAGTCTAGCTTTGGACTGTGTCTGCAGCCTGGGGACAGCTGGGCCTCCCAGTGCCATCAGTGTACCTGCACCCACACGAGGGCCGTGCAGTGCCAGCCTAAGGAATGCCCCGCCCCGCCCACGTGCACAGCGGCAGAGAAGCTGGTCCTGTTTAACGACACGTGCTGTGAAATCGGACGCTGTGGTGTGTATCTCTAGTACCATACTTGAATCCAATGTTTGTGGTTTACTTGTTTACATGTTCAAGAGAGCCTTGGTAGGCTATGATGTGTTACAATAGTAGTCATTTGATAAAACACTTATTCTTCCTCTTAAAACTTAGCATCTTTGAGAATAAAGGAAACCCCACATAACCAGCAGGCTAAAAGGACATTACGTTATGAGAAGGAGAAATGTAACACGCTGATAAGTCGAATCTCATCTAGTTTCAATGTCATAAAAGATTTTATTTTAGAATAAAAATTTATATTTATTGGGACTGAAGATATAGCTCAGCGGTATAAGTGCCTGCCTGGCACGTGCAAGGTCGCAAGTTAGATCCCTGGTACTGCAAAAAATAAACAAATAAATAAAAATAAAGTGGACTTTAAATTTGTATTTATTTTTCAGAACCAAGAACATGTTTATACAATAATACTGATTATGAGGTAAGTCCCTTTCTTGTCTAAAATGTTTTTATTAATATGACCATATGAATAAATACAAAGCTAAGCTACACCATGGGTCTTTTGGCTTATAATATGAAAAAAAAAAAAAACCCATGGGTAATGGTGGAATAACTTTTTCATTTTTCATGTTCATCCTTCAAAGGACTGTCAGATGTAACACTCACCAGGGTTCTTTTCAGAGGGTGAAAGTACACTTGGTAATTAACTACCCAGCAGTGGAGTTTCCGAACAGAATTCCCCATAGGTCTTGCCAGATGGAGAATTCAGAGTTTGTAACATTCAAATCAATGAACAGACTTGAACTGTGCTTATAGTCAGAAAGATCAGGTGGCCAGATTGTCAGAGATCAAAAAGAAAACCCAAAGGACTAGAGCCCACCGTGTGGCCCCAGCAGCACAAGGAGAGCGAGGGCTGGATCTGGACAACGGGTTGGACGTTGTGGACAGTAATTCAACTTTTGGGAAAAGTGTCAGGAAGCCAGAAAAGTCAGATGATGCTCAAATTGGTATTCATATACTTGATTTGTTGATACTAAATATTACAAAATCTAGATAGATGTGGTAAGTTAGGAAATTTATGAAACTGCCTATGCTAGTTTTATTCATACAACACTCCTACCACATTCAGATTTCTACCTGGGTTTCTTAATTTTAGTTTCTCAAGTCGAAGCTATAATTTTCAGACACCAAATATAATGGTGTTTAAAGCGAAGAAAAAAATTCCAATAATTATGTATGCACGGAACAGTTCAAAAAGTAAAATTTTCATTTGCCATTTACTAAGAAAGTTTAATTTGTGGTCTGAGATGTTGAGATGAACAGTATCTCGGACTGATTTGAATGTTGAACATTAGTGACTTGTAAAGTAAGATGACTCAGCACATAGGAGCACAAGCAAGATAGAAAACACGCTGGGAGACTCAATGTTTTTCTTTGTCTTTCTTATTTTTTTGAGATAAGGTCTGACTATGCAGCTCAGGTTGGCCTTGAGCCCACTTTGTAGCCCAGTCTGGTCTTGAATGCTCAGCTATCCTCCTGCCTCAGCCTCCCGAGTGCTGGGATTACAGACATGTGCCATCAGATCTGGCTGAGATTGTTGTAATCGATAAACTGATTTTGAACTTTTCCAATTTAAATACTTTATTTCTTTCCTTCAAACTCTGAGAGTCACAAATGCTGAATGTGTTGCTTTCCAGAAAATAACCTTTCTTGAAAAAATCTTGAAAATATAATGGAGTAACTTTCAGTGAATTTTATTTTGGAGATAGAGAGTCTTGACATGTTCTGTGCTGTGGCCTCCATAAAGAATGTCAACTTGTTCACGGACATAGAAGACTTTCAAACCACCTTTAGTCTTAGTATTAACTTCATGGCTGGAAGTATCACAGCACAGTGGCGAAGTAGGAGTTGGTTTTGGCTTAACTGTCAATCTCAAGGAGAAATTGAGACAAATAATCTCTCCCCTCCTACCATCCAGATTGGTACTTCCTTCAATGACCCCAGCAACCCGTGTGTCTCCTACTCCTGCAGTGACGCTGGCTTGGTTGCCGTCGTCCAAAGCTGCCCAAAGCAGACTTGGTGTGCAAAGGTAAGCCATCCTCCCGGATCTTCACCAGTAAGGTCCCTTCTCGTGAGCCAGAAACCCAGCCTGTTTCCTTCCTCCCATGGAAATATTTATGCCTGGCCAGCAGACTTAAATCTCACTGGTAACACAGATACTTCCTTTATCCTGAGCCAGAAGGTTCCAGGTATATCTACCTATTACTATGTGTGTATACTTTTCATATCAAGAATGAATCACGTTTTGCAGGCTCTATAAAACATTAGTGCTACTGTAAGAGTAGGTTGTTGCACAAAATATTTTCTTCCTTTCTTTGTTCCTTCCCTCCCTCCCTCCCTTCCTTCCTTCCTTTCCTTGCAGTACCAGGGATTGAACTCAGGACCTTACACTTGCCACGCAGACACTTATGCCACTGAGCTATATCTATGGCTTTTTGTTTTTCATTATTCTATCTTTATAAACAAATAAAATTCAACATTTTATAATTTCCTATAAAAATACAAATATTCATAATCACATATGTGTGTACTGTTTATAACTTTAAGCTGCAATTACTTTACTTTATATGCCCCCAGATATGATAGAGGGTTTTTTTGTATTAGTGATTCAATTCAATTAATGAAAACAACTTAAAATTATTGGATTTTTTCTGAAGCTACCATGTATAAGATAGTGTCAAATTTTATACTTCTAACATTGGATTTTAATATTTCATTGAGTGTCTACTTTGAGATACTGGTAGGTTTGAAATGAAATATAGCCTAAGGTATAGATCTTGACCTCTGTTATCATTGATTGTCAAAATAGTTTTCATCTGTCAGAATAGGGCCAGGGAGATAGCTCAGTAGCATAAGCGCTTGCCTGGCAAGTACAAGGGCCTGAGTTCAATCCCCAGTTCTATCAAATAAATAAATAAAGGAGAATAATCTGACTTTACTTTTTGCATGTTCTTTTTTCAATGTCTTTTTAAGACAGGGTCTCACTATGCAGTTCAGGCTGCCCTTGAGCTCACTTTGTAGCCCAGGTTGGCCTCAAACTCAGAAGGATCCTTCTACCTCAACTTCCCAAGAGCTGGGATTATAGGTGTACATCACAACACCAAGCTTGCATGGTCTTTTAAAATAATTTCGATTAAACATTGTTTTCTTTTCCTAACTAGTGTTGGAAATTTGAGTCTAAATTAGCATTTTCATCCTTTCCCTTTCCCCATTGCTGATGCTGTGTACAGAAAAATGTAAAAGAATTTTTTTTCTCTTCGCAGAAAGATAGAACCTATGATTCAAACAAATGTTGCTATAAATGTAAGTTCACCTGCACCTATAGAGCAATGTAAGCTGTTGATAAAAACTTAGCATTTCTTTAAAACAAAATGCCAGATTATGAACAGGAAGCTTCCTATTATTTAACAGCTAATCTAATGTACATGGTAAACTACTAAGTGATACTTATGGATTATACTTATATCCATCTTGATGGCTGTATTCTGCCTTGTATAAACCAGTTATGTTTATAAAGGAAAAAGTAATCTTAGAAAAAGATGACCTGGCTCTCCTAATACCAAGTCGAATTGTCAGCCTTTAGGCGGATGATCAGCCATGAGAAAGAGCAGGTCCAAACGAATCTGTGTCCCTCCTAGCCCTACCCCAGTCCTTCTACTTGGTTCCTCTTTCCCCACCTGTAACGATAAAAGCAATACTCAGGTAAAATTTATCAACTAGTTGCCTAGTCCTGGGCGCTGAAATAGTTAAGACCCTTATTCACATTAATACTTGAGGCTCTTGTTTCCTATGGCTAAGACAAAGGAGGTTTTGCATTCTTTGACATTTAAAAACTTACTTGTGCCACTGTCACCCACTTTGCTGCAGGTAACACCAGCTGCAGATCTTCCCCCGTGAATGTCACTGTGAACTACAACAATTGCAAGAAAAAGGTTGAGATGGCAAGATGTGTAGGGGAGTGCAAAAAGACTGTCCGGTGAGTTTTCTGTGTTTGTGTGTTAGTGTGTGTCTCAGTTACTCTTCTCTCGCTGCTGGGACAAATACCCAACACTCAGAATGAAGGAAGGAAAGGTTTATTTAGCTTACAGTCACTGGAGGGTTCAGTCCATACTCAGCCGGCTCAAGGCAGAGCGGCACATGGCAGAGAGCAGCCTTTCATGGTGGTGGCAAAGAGCAGAGAGCAAAATGGAGAAGCAGCAGCAAGAATGGCCACAGAGAGCAGGTCTCCCTTGAGTTACATTCAGGCTACCTGCCCCAGGCTGGGCGTAGCACTCACACCCATAATCCCAGCAGCACTCAGGCCCATAATCCCAGCCTTGGTTCATGAATTAACCAAACAGTAACACTTCACTTCAATGACTGCATGAGGCTTTGGGGGGACAAATACACACAAACCATAACTGTGCACATATTCTGTAAGATTGTGGAAGAAATTAAGCATTGAGCCTTACAGAGAGAAATTTTGATGACAGCAATGATGTTTGATGATTAAGGCCTCATGAAACAAGCATCCAAATTAAGACCTGAGCAATGAAATAGATATGCTAGACAGGGAGGAGTCATTCTGGGTAGCTTTAGACACACCTACTGGGGGCAGAGAGGCCCATATTTTTGCACTGACTGCAGTAAGTAGTTAACTAAATATATTTCTCAAATTATTTTTAAACTTGAATTGTAGAGGTATATATTTTCCCTTTGTATGCTATTTTACAGATAGATTGAGAAAACATTATGGCAGCATATTGGCTTTTTAGAAATCTACCTTGTTCACTCTCTGTAATATAATATCCTACTTATGAAATTATGAGTCTTCTTTTTAGGTGTCTGGCTCTTGGGGCCTTACATACCCATTATCAGTGACCTCCCTTAGAAATTTACAGGGTGAGGTGCCAGGGCTGGGAAGGCTCTGTCACCTGGCAGCTCCAGTCACTTCAACAATCCATGAGAGCGTAAATGTTGATGGTGATTTATTTTCAATGCATTTCACATATGTTCATTACTGAATTTTGTTTTCTTTTAGGTACAATTATGATCTGTTTCAGTTGGAAAATTCATGTCTTTGCTGCCGAGAAGGAAACTATGAGTATAGAGAAATTAGCCTGGATTGTCCGGATGGTACCACGCTGTCCTACAAATACAGGCACACCACCAGCTGCTCCTGCGCCGACCTGTGCCACACTTCCCAAACTGCAGCAATGCGTTAATTCTCACCCCACCTTTGTAGTTGTATTTATATTATGAGTGAAGAAAAAGTCATGAAAGAGACTGTACTAATGCCTGTATCTTACTCAGCATGAATGCGTGTAATGAGACACTTACTTCTCTTGTTGACTGATCCTGAAAAATAAATACAACTTTGCAAGCAATTGCCGAGCATATGCATTAGTTTTATAGCAATGGAAATTCTGCAAGTCAGCAGAGCAGGGTGGTGGACAGCTGTGGCTGGAGCACTCTGGAAGGCGGAGGCAGGAGGATCACACATTGAAGTCCAGCCTCTGCAACTTTCTGAGAGCCTGTGTCAATTTAAAGCATAAAGAAGGGCCGGCCAAATAGCTCAGTGGGTCAAAGCACCTGCTCAAGCAGATGCAGGGACTGGGGTTCGATCCCCAGTGTGCTGTGCCAGCCCTGCCTCCAGCGTGCGCTGAGACTGGGCGTGGTGTTACATGCCTGTAATCCCAGCCCTCGGGAGGCTGAAAATAGGAGGATTACTATGAGTCCGATCTGTGTAGTGAGACTGTGTAGACCCTGTAATAAATACTTTAAAAAAAAAAAAAGCATCAAGGGATGTAGCTCTAAGTAACTGGGAAAGAAAGAAAAATATCTGCAAGTGAAGAGGTCTGGAGGCATGGCGCGACTCTAATGCACGTTTCTTCCACCCTATCTCCTTAGGCCATTAACCTGCCTCCCTTCTTCTCACTACTTGCTGAAAACGTAGGCTGCTTTCCCCGCTACTCTGTGCCAGGTACAGGCACCTTCCACCCAGCACCTTCTCCCAGGACACTGCGAGCCCTCGTTTCCTTTCTTCTTAGAGTTTGCCTTCTTTTTCCTCCTCCTCTTTGGAAGCACTTCCCTCACAGTTCCTATGGCATCCTCTTAAGTTAGTGCTGCTGCTTCTGTGTACAGCTGTACTCCTCCATTTACATGCATCTCAGCTTTGCATGTTTCATTTTCCGGCTGCATTCTGTTCCTCTTAGTGTACTCAGGCTCGCTGACAGACTTCATCCACTCAAGTGCATATGTATTTACACACAGAATTTTTAGTATCTGTCACCACCCCAAACCTTCCCCTGAACTTGTCACACTGCTACTGCTTTGAATTTATCATCTCCCTCTGGATGTTCTATAAATACCCCAGCAGCAAGACGACAATCACATGCCACCCACCACTCCCCTATTTGGATACCTGCATAATCTATTTCGCCTTGAAATAGATTAACACGATGGTGATCATTTCCACCATCCATTGCTCTAGCACCTCTCGTAGACCCTTCCTCTGCACACATACCTAAGTGTACTTAGGATGACAACATTCACATATATAAAAATGTGCAGTGAACACATCCTTTCCCCAACATGCAGGCAAACCTGACATTGCGACCCATTTGTGTACTACCCTCACTATTCTATATCATTTGGACAAAAAAGTGCACCATCAAGCACGGTATGTCCAATGGTGGGTTGAAACCTGGTTTGTTAGGATATTGGTAATTGCCACCAAAGATGGATAATAACTCCATAAATTACTTATGTTACTTCAACTGTCACTCCCAAAGCCTTTGACTTTCCACTGTTCTTGTCACTGATACTAGATTTTTTTCTTCCTTTCAAAGCATCTCAGAGCCCAGCTGGGGATATAGCTCTGTGGCATAAGTGCCTGCTTGGCAAGCACAAAGTCCTCTGTTCAATCCCTGGTACCAAAGCATGCTAGAGCTAGTAATTTGGCAAAATTATGAAGAGTTTGGATGCTAGATAATCCAAAGAAGGGAGATACCTTTTACCTCAGTGAACAGTAGAACACGGAGTCAACAATGTACCTACGTCTCACACCTTAGTGGGATGGTTGTGCTATTTCCCCTTGACAGTCAGAATTGATCATCTCAGATAATGTAAGAAAAGCCCCTCCTATTTTGCAAGTTTCATTTAGAATTATGAAACGCCCCAAGTAGCTAGCTGAGAATTTTAGGACATGACAGATGATGTCAATATTGATTTCTGTTCCAACTAATGTGTACCAGCAAGGTCATCTGAGCTACTATCAAAATCCTGCACCTCCAAGGCCAAATGCAAGACCTACCATCTGAAAAATTAGGCAATAACACTATATGTCTCTATTGCTTTTCTTTGCTTGGAAATAAATTCCTTAGTTGGAAGCAGCGCCGTGCAGTATCTGATGGCAGCGAATAAATAATTCAATAATTTCATAGCAGTGCTTGCTGAGGTATATTGACCCTTTTTCCAAAGACAAATCAGTAATCAGTTACCTTAGAGAGAGAGAGAAAAAAAAGACTGTCTTCTCACCAGAACAAGATTAGTACCAGATAACTACGAGGCACTGCGATAGCAACAAGGACAAAGCTTCCTATTGCTGGCCCAGCGGCATTCAGATGGCTTTGGGGGAGGAGACTTAGGCTGTGGGACCCACCATGGCCTCTCCCCCTACCATACTGCTACTGTATTAACCTCATTTAGCAAATACTGGCCAGAAGGAGGAGGAGGCTTGCCCACAACTGCAGGTGTGAGGACCAAACTCCTGGTCATTACCTGATTCTCCCATCACAGTCCTGACAGGGAATCTTTGATGAGCAACCACTTACGTATGTTCAGGCACAGGGTTTGTATAGATTATCCATATAAATTCCCCAACTTCTTCTTGGTATGCTCCTCCAAATTCCTTCTTTTCAATTCTTAACTATTTATACAATTTGGTACTTCTCAGGACCAGTATAAGTCCTGATTTCAGGTCAACCTTCCTTCTACCAAGCACAAAGGCAGAAGAGAATTTTCCTGGATGGTGGTTTTTAATGCCCCCTTCCTTAGGTTATACTCTTATACAGCTCACTTCTTACTGATAATGGGGCCATACAATATCTACCCTGACTTGCCATCTTATGTCAAAAGGGACATAAGCAAATATTTTGTCTTAGTCCATCTTCTGTTGCTGTAACAAAATACTCAAGATTGGATAATCAATAAGGAAAAGATTTATTTAGCTCATAGTTCTGGAAATAGAAACATTCAAAATCACATGGCTATGACTGCTGGAGGCCTCACGGGCTATAGCATGGTTGATGATGTCATATGGAGGCTGTGTAACAGAGAGGCTTGATGTCTGTAATGACCCGTGCTCTCTAAATCTCAGTCCTATCAGGGTGAATACTCACTCCTGTAAGAGTTCATTTGTTTGCTCCTCCAGGGGAGCATTACTGTATTGTGGAAACATGCTTTTTTTTTTGCGGAACCAGGGATTGAACTCAGGCCCTTGTGCTTGCAAGGAAGCACTTATTCTACTGAACCATCTCCCCGGTCCCCTATCATGCTTATTTAATTGAGTCACCCATGGAGGCTGGATGCAAAGACAGGCAAGTTTATTAACTGGCAATAGTGGGCACCCAGTGTGACCAAGCACAAACTGGTGAGAATAGTTAGACAGTTCCAATTCTGGGTTTAGTATCAGGTCTCTGGGGGTGCTGATATGATCTAGTGCAGTGACAGAAGTACTCCTGCAGCTGGAGTGGTGGAGCATGCCAATAATCCCAACACTCAGGAGGCTGAGCCAGGAGGATCATGATGAGTTTGGGAATAGCCTGGGCTACAAAGTGAGCTCAAGGCCTGCCTGAGCTACATAGTGAGGCCCTGTCTCAAAAAGGCATACGAGAGAGAGAGAGAGAGAGAGAGAGAGAGAGA